CCTTTGAGATTTGCAGTAACCGGAGATATAGCTTTCGCTAAATCGTTTGGAAGCGGAAGGAGAGACCATGTTTCAGTTCTCATACAAAACCGGGATACATTATTCTTGTTTGACATTGCTAACCAATGCACGAATCCGTTTATCAATACAGGTACACTTGAAATCTCTAAAAACTCACCTTGTGGTAGTTTTAGGTTGTCTAATAGTTTCCATGCTAACGAATAAGAATCAAAAACCTCGCATATGAGTCTAATTCGTAGATATAGCAAATGTAACACATCAAAATAAATATGTTTCTTCCATGACTTTTCTATCACTCTTATCTGCTAAAAGTAACTAATCATAAAGAAAATACTTGAAATCGAAGACAAGACTAATCCTCTTCGACGATTTATAATTAAAAAGGCCAAAAACTGATTTTTGATTCCACGTTGATGTTTTCTGTTCACCTCATTAAAATATTACGCTCATCTCTTCATCATTGTCTTCATGTTCATTGCTCTTCTTCCATCTCTTGGGTGATTTCTCAACTGGCTGAAACAAGAAATGAGAAGAAACTTGTACTCAAAATAGCCATGAGAGACTAAGGCCACACAATCATAATACAAACTTACTGATGTTGTACCCAAGAGCTCCTCCAAAGCATCATAGTCGATTCTAAGTCTCTGTAAGAGGAAGAAACACAAAAGCTTAAACCAATGATTCATAGATATGTTCTTGACTACCAACTTCCGGTATCAGATTGCTGAATATAACTTGATTACCTTGTTCTCAAGTATTCTGGTAACAGCTTCCATAGCTGTGGCTGGGGGAGGCGCGTTCTTTGCTTCCTCAGCCCGCTTTTGTCGCTTTTCCTTTTATCAAGACAAGAGAGAAAATACAAACAAGAGAACCATACTAATGGACATTATGCATATTATTCTTACTTTGATATAAAGCATGCATAAACATTACTGCAAAGTTTAGTCACCTTTCTAGATTTTGCCACAGATGCTTTAGAAGCTTCAACAAGATTTCTTGCGTATTCTGGGCAATTAGCATTGCTCACGTTGAAAGCTTCACTAGCTGCTTTCTCCTACAAAACAATATAATTTGGTAAGATTCTTATGTATGTAACAATTTACAAGGAATACAAGAGAAGATAAATGATATTGCCTATCACCTTAAGATACTCTCCGTATTCTAAGTCAAAATAGGTAGTCTTCATGCGCATTTCTTCCTCGTCGTTTAAACAGTTATCCACCTGGGACACAGTGAAATATTATGACCAACCATCAATTTGTAAAGTGAAACTGTTGTAAGGAAGTAAAACATTCTACCTAGAATCTAATACAACACAAGGAAGTAAAACTATTGCCCACCTCTTTATCACCATCGAGGTCAGAAAGATTGCCTGATTCATCTAAAGCTTCAGCATCCCAATCTGTTTCTCCTTCACTTTTCTCTGAAACACAGCACAAAAACAATTCTCAAGAGCTCAAACAATATATATATAAAAAAAGACTTTAATCTATTTCGATAGTTGTTCAACGTGGTTTAAGCCGCTATACCAATTCCTCCCTCGTTTTCTTCTCTAGCTGCTTTTTCAATTCTCTCTTTCTCTGCTCGCTGGAAAGCAGGAGGATCCGACCCACCAACAACTCCACCAGAAATTTTAATGAACTGCCGGAAAATTTTGGAAAAGAAAAGCATGAGCCATTTGTCAAGGACTCGCCAGTTGCATAAAATGGAAAGAGAAAATCCAGAGACTTACATCTTTGTAACAGTTCTTACATAATCCATAACCAAAATGTTCTAAACCCTTATGTTCACAGATCACTTCTCTTTTGTCAGAATCTTGTCTTGGGGTAAGTAAAGTTTCTTTATGCAATATCCTTTCTCTTTCAGTGAGCTCATCAACCTGGCCAAGCATGTACAACAATTGAAAAATCAATGAGCACATGTTGCATATGACAGCATCTAATTAGCGAACAACTCTACAACTAGAAACTCTTAGCCTTAGATTTGTAACATATCCTGCAAATGAAATAACTCACATTTAATTTTGCAGCATCGGTATTAGCAAACTCAATCAATCTTTTGGTTATTGTTGCTTCACACATATGCACAATTTTTCCCTGAAATATTTAGTAAACACATCAAAGGGCAGGGCAAAACATCGTTGCTCTCATCTATAACAATATTCTTTAACAGCTAAATCATATTCTTACAATATCTGTCCTAGAGCACATGATACCATGAGAAATGGCAGCTATGTAAATTGCTGCTCCACAGATTCCACTTGGTTTCCGGCCGGTCTGCAAGCCAATAGATGGCCAACATTAACACAAGCCAGAATAGAAAAAAAACAAAGAACATGTAGGTAACTATCCTTTTAACGATAAAATAAAAGAGGAGTCACACCTGCATCCAATCTCTCTTCATACTAGCTATAATGTCTCTAGCCGTATCCACGACGTATTTTGCTTTATCGTGTGCACCTTTCAATAAGACTGCAAGTGTATGATGAAAGAAAAACAAGAGTTTGTATTTTGACTGATGTTCACACCAACTTAAAAAAAAAAATAGAATGTTTTGCATCACCCGATACAGAAAAGAATAAGAATGGGAGCCAAAAGACGACATACTTACTGTTTGTGAATCGAGGAATGAAGATTGAAGGATCAACAAGCTCCTCATAGTTCCGGTTTGGCACTAAGCACAGCTTCTCACAGAATTGCAAGTACACAGTACCTAACTCGTAACTAGACAACAACAAAATTGAAATGATTCCAAAAACAGCAATACCCGCATTACTCGACTCTGCAGTAGACTAAACAGGTAAATAGGCTATCAAGTAAAGAGAAAAGTAGGGGGATGAAAACAAGTCATCTTACACGCTAACTCGAAGGTAGCTTGAAATATCAATAAGAAGAATGGGGATTTTCCTTTCCCTACAGATGAGGGAAAGTTTTGGTCAATGGAAACATAAGTGAGGAAAGAAATCTGCAACTAAGATTCCAACCTGCAAGCCAAGTAGAGACAGGAAGACTGTACTAGTTCAGTTCGGCGCCCTCTAGTGAAGTTGTTGTCAGCTGCCATCTTGAGAAGAGAAATAAAGTTAGACGGTGTAAGACAGAGATTAATATTCAGAAGATATGTAAAAGCGAAACATACTGTGAAGAATCGGAGAGCCATGTCAACCACATAATCTCTCTCATCACCAATTCCCAAGGCATCTTTCAAATGCTCAATCTCATCTCTAGCTGTGGAAGGATCAAAAATAAAGAGTGTAACAATGCAATGACTTTTCAGACATAGATCATGTATCAGTTGCACTATTAAAAGACATACCTATTCTAAGTCTCCTTTCACGTGAGACTGAAATCCCAGTCTGAACACTATTGACGTTGTTACCAGACGCCTGGCTCTGCGGGCACAGAAATAAAAAAATGTTTTTGTAAGGCAGCAATGAAAAGAGAAAGCAGTACTTTTATAAACTAAAATCCCAGGGTAGTCGTCTATTCATCTGAAAACTTGGAATGAATGAATTCTAGGTCTAAAGCATACCTGTCCAGCCGCATTCTTAATGAATGTAACTTCTTCAGAAAGATAGAATTCTTCCAATACCTTCCCACATAAAACACATGACCTACAAAAACGAAACGAAGCCATCAAACATAACTCCTCGGAACTAGAAACCCTAAAATCAAAAACACTTACAAACGTCCGTCGTCGGAGCGAGATACGGGAGCATGCTTCGCACAACGGTTACACCACAGCATGGAGATGGCGATGAGGAAAGCCCCCAAGTGGAAAGGGTTTTGTAGGCTTTAATCGTATATTTGCGACTGATGTTAAAATGGGCCACAGGCCTGTCTTAGCTTGTTTATCATTTAACTTTAGACAGGCTGATCCGTTTATATCTGTGGGCCCGTTTAATAGATTGGGGATTACAAGAATTCTTCTTTATCATAATGAAATCATTTCGGATCCATATTTATTACTACAGTACTACATGATTAAAAACGAGAGATTTTAGAGCAACAACGGGATTGATCACGATCTACTACTTCTTGTTGCTCTCACTTTATTTGCCTTGTTCGGTTCACGGTCAAATCGATTAAATGTGGTTTTTTTACATTGGATAACAATTTTATTAAACCGAAAACCAGTACAAAGAAATTTTTAAAGATTCAAATAAAACACCAATATGTATAAACGAAACACACAAAATTCCAGGTTCGAAACTTATGAAAATTCCCAACCCTTTAAAATGGGAAACACCATCATCGTGAGTTCTTAGATTAATATCACTACATATGCTCTCATGTCCAATGGCGGACTCTGTTTCCATATGAGCATGAAGCCACGAAGACCCTTCACAAGCAACATAAGACTAATATGTGAGCTCCTTCGTGACACTAACAGCGATAGCCTCACCGCAAAGATTGTCTGAGGAGGGCACAAAAACAATGCTCCTGTAATCAAGGGAATTTAGTAGATTAAAAATGGACGATGTTAAATGTCTTGTTTTGAGTCTCAAGTAGACAATTAGGTGTTGCCGACTCCACAATAGCAGCCAGACTTCCAATATCGTTTACATTAACCCGACAACAATTCTCTTTAACTTAGATAAATCTCCTTCTTTGATTGACCATTTTTTGAAACCAAATTACCGAGGATTCCATGATGAAAGATCAAGTGACAGAGACCTCATATAGTAGAATAAGACTACTTCTCAAATAGAAACCAAGGCTTCAAAAGCTGTTTATAAGCCTTCACGAACAAAGCTTGGAGTGAAATTCCTGATGCAAATAGACTGGTTAACGCCTAAAATAACCTAAAGAAAACTAGATATCAAACAAATCTGTATCGTAGAGACAAAGAAACTACTAATGTGGTCTCTACGATACAACCTTAGGTTTGACATCTATATTAAACGTGGTCTAGAGTGGGGAATAGCATAAAAATCTCAAAGCCCAAAAGGTTTGACATCTTCTCTTCCAATTGCCTTTTTGCCTTGTCCACTTTAATAGTATATTGCAACCACTACCTAGTGTAACAAACAAATCTCTTCTTCGAATTTCAGTTAAAAAACTAATCGATAATTGTTTTAATATTTTATGTACTAGCATTTGTTTTACACCATTAAAAATGAGAATTGATATTATTTTCAGATATTTTCTTTAAGCATATATAGACAAAGAGATTCCAAGCTGTCCAAATCCGATGGATAAGATTAACAACAAACCGAATCTAAGGAAGCCAGGAATGAAAAATGCGGTGAGAATGAGGGAGTCCGAGGCTCCAATGCCCAATTTCTTTTCCTTCCCTTTCACCATATTAGCCTCTTTTTACGGTTTTCTCATCCTCATTCTGCTACTTTCCAGGCTTTTACTGTGACTGATTCCAGCTGCTGCTTTCAAGACGACTCTTGCATAGCTCCATCTTTTCCCAATCTCTTGTGTCTACTACGGGGATACTCTTTCAACATCTTCATCACCTCATACGTCCTTGTCTCTCTTCCAAGGTAGAGGCAAAGGCCGAGCGGAGTTAACCCATCCTG